CTGAACAAAAAAAAATCCAACTCAGCTATAGTCACAACAGTCTATTTCTATAATATTTTGCCTTCTGGGTTTAATTTGAAACATTTGCAGTTTAGTGTCTTGCCCTTTACCCTACCTTATAGTGTATGTGGTGGCTGGGTATCATGCGTGAGTGTGTGTGCTGGTATATGTAATGTGGTGACTATTGGCAATGTGTGTAGTGATTGTATGTAATGTGTGTGATTTGTGCTCGCCATACGGCATGGTGCGTGCTGGCCGTATGTTATGTGTGTGTGGTGTGTGCTGGCTGTATGTAGCGTGCGTGGAGTGCTCTACCCCTCCTTACTCCGCCTTTAGCTTATCTAGTGCTATACCCGGAATCCCTAGTGTTCTGTTGTGGGAGTTGGTTTTCATCACCTCCAGTGGGTACAGACCACAGAACCACTTCCTGTCCCTGTAATATAACTTCTAGTAGTCTCAGAGAGACTGTGACATATGTGCTTAACTAAGTCTAAAGAAATCGTTGCCATTGCACTAACTTTAGCCCTAACTATTATTTTAAAAAATATTGCAGATAAAAAAGTTGTATAACAATAAAAAAAAACTAAAGTCCAAAGAGGCCCAAGAGAAATGTGCCCTTCGCGGCAAAACAAGTTTTAATAAATAAATGCCCTGTATCCACTGTTGACAACCGGAAGAGACTCCCAAATGTGCAAAAAACAGGGAAATAAAATATTTCTCCAACAATAAATACCGTATATACTCGAGTATAAGTCGAGTTTTTCAGCAAATTTTTTGTGCTGCAAAACCCCCACTCGACTTATACTCAAGTCAAGGTCTGTATTATGGCAACTTACATTGCCATAATACAGACCAGGACCGCTGGGCTTGTAATGAGGGGGCTGGCAGAGAGCTGTAACTTACCTTTCCTGCAGCTCCTGTCAGCTCCCTTTCTCTTTCCTCCGGTCCGGTCAGCTCCCACTGTAAGTCTTGCGAGAGCCGCGGGGTCAGAGCTGACATGAGCTGCAGGAAAAGTAAGTTACAGCTCGCTGCCAGCCCCCCTCCTACACAGCCAATGCCACTGGACCACCAGGGAATGAGAGCCCCCCCTCCCTGGCCAGCTAACAAGCAGAGAGGGGGACAAAAATAAATAAATAATTAAATTATATTAAAATAAAAATATTAATAATATTAAAAAAATAATAATAATAAAATAAAAATAAAATATTAATAATATAACAAAAAACATATTAAAATAATAATAATAATTAAAAAATAATAATAAAAATGCCCACCCTCCACCAAGGCTCTGCATCACATACACAAACACACTCTGCATCACACACACACACTGCTTTCATACACACACACTGCACTCACACACACACACTGCACTCACACACACACACACTGCACTCATACACACACACACTGCATTCATACACACACACACTGCACTCATACACACACACTGCATTCATATACACACACACATACTGTATTCATTATATACACACACTGTAAATACATATTCAATTAATATAATTTTTTGGGATATAATTTTATTTAGAAATTTACCAGTAGCTGCTGCATTTCCCACCCTAGTCTTATACTCGAGTCAATACGTTTTCCCAGTTTTTGGGGGTAAAAGTAGGGGTCTCGACTTATATTCGGGTCGACTTATACTCGAGTATATATGATTTTCCACTTCAAACTGCATTTACTACAGAATACCAAAACATAGCATGTATTATTGTATGTGTTTTCAATTAAATTAATATTTATGCTCAGATAAATTTCAGGTCTATTAAACCTTGAGTGCAAAAGAAATTGCTTTTGACCACACTGCTTCTATTCACTTAAATTGAATACTGTTTTCGTTACATTGTCATAATTTAATATTATTTACAATATCACTGCGTCAGCATGGGAAAGCTAGAATCAATAACTAGGAAATCTTAACACCTCCAAAAGGCTGACCCTGGGAAGAATCAATTTTATAACAATGATTCATTTCAGTTTAATTAGCACAGTATTTCACTTTCTACATTTCTTTTGGGCCTTCTATGAGTTTAAACCTGTGTCATAAATATGATATTAGACATGGGCATACATAGGCACAAATATTGTAAAATGGTCCATGACAGACTCATCAAACGCCATAAAAAAAATCACAGCTGTTATAAGTAAACACAACTGCCTAGGCCAAAGGGCTATGTCCTCTCTGGTGCACTCCAAAATAATGAGACATCTGATCAGTTAATAGGAGTCTGAGGCACAGTGTTGTGTACTCATGGCACTTGTTTTACAAAGGCTTTTTGTTACCTTAGTTAAATGGCACTGCTGCCCATCAAGGCAACATGAAATGGTTGGTCCACATACATCTTACCCAGTAAAATGTCCTCCAAACATTGTTGTTATACACCCCTACCATTTCCTCACACAATACCCCTAGTTCTAAATTGTATGCCCTCTCCCTATAATTCAGAAGATCTCTTTGTGCATGTTCCAGGAAACATTTTATAAGTGCCAGAATAAAAACAGCAGAGGATGAAGTGGAGTTTATTCAATTCGGTAATCTACGTATGAAAGTGCTTAAGAAAATAACATTTAAAAAAAAAAAAAACTAAAAAAAAACCTTATATATAAGGCAAGAGAGATTTAATAATACGAAGGGCAAAATAAAACCCAGACAGTCCTTTGAGCAACTAATACAGATCCATTCTAGAACAGTGGCACTATCAAATAAAATCAATAACTTTTATGTTGGTGTTAAAAAAAATGTTTTCCAGTGGGCTTAAACTTACAGATGAAACTAGTTAAAACAATGCATGTGTGATTGTTGTATGTGTGTGCATATACATACACAAATCACACAGATATTAGTTAATGCATACATGTAGATGCACATCAACACAATTAGGGAAATAAGGAATACACATCTGACATACACTTTTCTACGAACTTGGGTATTCATAATAAACACTGAACTGTTGCCAAAAATGTTGGCATTAAAATATTTAAAATATGAGTGTAAATGATAACCAATTAAATAGAGCATCATTTTTTATTTTTTTTTAAATGCAGCATAATGGACTAACCAAAATATATATCAATGATTCTATATTTACATACAAAAATAATCATACAAAAAATGCAAAAAAAAGGTACAGACATGTCTAAGCTACATCCACAGCACCTAAAAATATAAAGCAGATCAGCATTTCAAGTTCACAAGATTCATACATTCTTTATGATCAACCTGTCTTCAATTTCAGTATTCAGTAAAGAAAACAAAAAATTCACCACTGTGAGCCTTGGGACAAAACAGCTTTGGGAAGGCGCTATTCCAGGAGCAAGCAAAACTGATCTCTGATTGGCAAGTGTGGGAGCTCTTTGTAGGCACTCTCAACCTGCCAAGTGTTTGAGGCCCCCCAGCCTGAATAGGATGCTAATCTCATGGATGCATCAGGGGTTTGTAACACATTGGAGCAACATCTCAAGTAAAGCAATAACAGGACAGAATTTCTAACAGCAGCTTCTCATTCAGAGGGGGACACAATGCCTGGATAATCAATTCCTTGTTAGTTCCACACAATGCAAAGGGGGGTTAAATAAAGGATCACAAAACTAGCACCTTTAAAACTCACAAGGATTGGTCTTTCTCTTTGCAGGAGAAAGCAAAGTCAGTAAATAATGTCCTAGGGATGTAAATTCTGAATGCAGCACAAAGAAAGATGCTGTTAACTCTTGGGTGGTAATGCATTTCAGGCCCTTACTGACTCTGCAGGGGTTACAACAAAGAAAATGCTAACCCCCTTTACCCAGAAGATCACAGCACAGTTAAGCACTTTCTACCATTATTATCTTGACTGTTAAAAAAAAAATGAGAAAAGCAGTAGTACATCATCATATTGCATATTACACCTAACATTGATTCCAACCTTAATTTTTCTACATTACTCCCAGAAATAAAATTAACAGGGAATGCAAACAGAGGATGCCAGACACAGGAGACACAGATGTATTTTTTTTTTTTCCTGCAAACCCCACAACCATTCTCCAATTTCCTCCCCATCAATTCCTTGTCCATGCACAACAAGATCAGTAAATACAGAGATGCATTTAGCTGAAGGGGTGATTAACCCAGTACAAGCCCCAGTGATTCTTCACCCCAGCCCTCCCCTCTCCTTCATCCCCCACCCCAGACATCAGACTACTGGGATGAAAACACACATATCGAAGCAGACAAGGAAGAGACAAAAAAAATTCAAATAAAATCACACACGAGAGAGGGAAAGATAGAAAGAAAAAAAAAAAAAAGACGGGAACAGAGAAGCAAAATATATCCCACACTGTATGAGATGTGTGCACTTGTTTTTACACCTGCTTTTCACAGGGTGCATTTAAATAGCATGCATGCAAAGCTCATCCCAGGGCACAGCATCAATGTGAGCAGACATCTGAGGAATGACACAGAGGGGAAGGCATCCCAGCATCAGCAGAGGGGACAAGGGGGACTAGTGGTGAGGGAGGGAGGAGAGCAAAGACCAGACTACACACAGAATTCTATCTATACATAGAGACACCAATACACACCATAGCAGGAGAAGTAATAATAATAATAATATTCACCTTGGCTGTGGATTATTGTGTTGTTGTTGGTTGTTGTTGTGGGTGATGGGGATGATGATGATGAGGAGGATGAGGGTGGAGAGAAGGTGGTGGTGGTGGTGGTGGTGATGGTGGAGGAGGAGGATGATGAGGAGGAGAGGAGTAGTTGTTGTTGATGGGTAACAGTCGCCAGGACTACGGTGGCTATGGCGCTGGATTCACAAGGCAACAGTTGCTATAACTCACAAAAGAGGGAGGCAGCCTAACCCGAGAGGAGGAAGAGGAGGGGCTGCACTAACACACACACACACAGCCTGACAGCCAGGCATGGAGGAGGAGGAGGGCCCAGCCTGCCTGCCTGCCAGCCAGCCAGCCAGCCAGCTCTCCATGGGAGCACGCTTTATTCACTAAGCTGTATGTGCACTGCCTGCCCGGGGCTGGCTCTCCCTCTCTCTCTCTCTCTCTGTGTGTACTATGTAATCTCATGTAGTGTGTGCAGCAACCAGGGCACACATTGCTCTGCCCAGGGTCCTGGTATATCCGGAGCAGATCATATCCAGGGGTTATTGTGTTATATATGGAGAAGGTGTATGGGGGTTGCTGGTACATTGGGTGCAGGAGGGACCCTCCATTGTCTGCCCCCATTCTAGGAGCTGCTTCTGGTATGGGCTGTGATATATACCGCATTGATTAAACACAGACAGGGGCTCTAACAATACACTGTACATTGTTTGTGCATGTATATATATATTATTATTTTGTTTGTATCCATAATATATACCAGTGGTAGTGGCTGCAAAATATTTCATATGGTGCTCAGCCAGCCATTTGCTTAGCTGCCAGCATAGAATCCTTCATTTGTAAGTGGTATTTTAAAAAACATTAGGAATTTTCAGCTATTTTTTTTTTTACTAATTACCTTTTCTATTTTGTAACCATTTAACACTGATTGTCTCAGTCCCACTTGGTATATTAGAATGGTAAATAACCTTTTAATTTTTTTTTTCTCAAGTGTATTTTACATTTATTAATAAATAAATTTAGTATTACATCTACAGATAAAAGAACTTACAAAAATGAGCACTCCAAGCACAATAACCACTACAGCCAGCTTTAATGTTTATGGTGCCAGGAGAGCCCTGGTGGTTTGCCAGGATAAGTAGTCAAATCATTTAAAAACAGATTGATAACTTGCCTGGCTACCACTGGCCACCCGCCACTTCCCTCACTGCCTCTGAATGCTCTAGCACTCAGCTAAGCCCTAAGGTTAAAGGATCACTATACAAACCTGTTTTCCTGACACTATGTCATCCTTGGGGGAACCTCAGCCTCAGGGTTAAAACAACTTCAGCAGCTTACCTTAATCCAGCGCCGGGCTCCCTCGGTGCTGGTGACCTCTCCTCCCCCGCCAACGTCAGCTCCAGAGTGGAGCAGAATGCTGCATGCGCGGCAAGAGCCGCACACGCATTCTAACAGTCCATAGGAAAGCATTTCTCAATGCTTTTCTATGGATGTTCTGCACGCTGGATGCGAATTTCGCCTCCAGCGTCGAAGAAGCACCTCTAGCGGCTGTCAGGAACACAGCCGCTAGAGGTTGGATTAACCCTGCAATGTAATCATTTCAGTTTCTCTGAAACTGCTATGTTTACATGTGAAGGGTTAAAACCTGAGGGACCTGGCACCCAGACCACTTCATTGAGCTGAAGGGGTCTGGGTGACTATAGTGTCCCTTTAACCCCTTAAGGACCAAACTTCTAGAATAAAAAGGAATCATGACATGTCACACATGTCATGTGTCCTTAAGGGGTTAAGTTAAGCCCTCATTGGCTGAGAGTGCTCAGCTAGCACTCTAACGATTAAACGGCTCTGCGCGGTAGAGCCTAGCTCAGTGGTGGTGGTGGAAGCAGACAGCAGGTCACTTGTCAGATTGTTCCCTTTATATCGTGCCAGGGCACTCCTCGCACCATAATCACTACAAAAGGTGTACATTATGGTGACTGGAGATTTCCTTTAAAGGGACAGTCTAGTACCAAGATCATTTTATATAAAGTGTTTGGAGGTTATAGATGAGGTCACTGCACCTGGCAAGTGAAAATAGTATAATGTCTGAGAATTTGCACTGTTTATATTTTGTAGTTTCTACAACTTCTTGTGACTGTCACACAGCCATTATGGGCTTCTGATACAATAAAGATATACTTTTGTTTGCCAATTGTTATTTGTAAAAATACATGACAGTATAAAACAGTCAAAACAGTTGTTATTTGTAAAAATACATGACAGTATAAAAGAGACAGTATAAAACAGTCAGAGAGACAGTTTTAATAGGACAGATGTTTAAGTAAGTAGAGGAAAAAGTTACAAATCCATAAGGAAGGTAAGTGAAGGAAAGGACATGGAAGAGCAAGGTAAGGGGAAAGAAAGAGGAGTAAGTATGGAAGAGGGGAAGGGTGTTAGTTGTAACATGTTCTTGATATTATCTTAAGGTGGGCAGATGGAGATACGTTGTATCCAGGGTGACCAAATATCAATGTATTTATTAGCAGAGGCAATTGCAGCTTCCACTGAGTAAATATTTTCTTCCAGTTGCATCCATTGTGAGATGCTGGGGGCAGAGGTTTGACCCCAGAAGAGCAGGACTAGGCCCATCGCAGCCATTAACATGTTTTATGATTGATGTTTGCAAAGAGAGGGGGTGTTCTTCAACAGGAGTAGGTCAGGAGTGAAAGGGACAAACCAGAATATGTGTTGCATGGCGCCAAATAGTACTGAAAGGCACCCCTAGCATTGATCAGATTGATACTAGAAAATTGCATGCAGTGTTGTAGAAGTTCTAGTACCATTGGTTCAGAATCATATAACTGATCTCTTGGAAACAAGAGCAGATAGAGCTCATCTATATGCTCACACTCACTTATACACAAACACTGACAGACCAAACATGCCATACATATATATAATGCCACACAAAGATACACATACACAGAACATAAAACCAGTTACACATATACACAAATAGATACACATTGCCACACAAACACACAGATACATACTGCCGTACACTGTCATACACATATACACAACACATACAAACAAATACACACTGTCACACACATACAGATTGGGCTCTGTAATAATCACCCTCTTTTTTACCTACATTTATGCTGGAGGAAGTTGGCATCCCTGTGGTCCAACAGAGCAGTGAGCTGCTGGACCACAGGGATGCTTTCCCTTTCCTCCTGTGTGACAGCTTTCTTACGCCGGGAGGTAGTGAGTTGACATCACTTCATTCCAGTAAGTAAGCTGACATCACTTTCTTCCAGTGCTACAGCTCATGGAGAGATTAGAGGATGCTCTGTGCCCTGATGTTTTCCCTCTCAAGATTCGTCAGCAGACGCAGAATAGTGCAATAGTAATCTATTGATCAACCTTCCGGCTCAGAGATGGAGCCCACACATACAGAGCCGGAGTCCCAGGCCAAGACAAGGCCACACCAGCCCCTGGTTGCCGCCTCTGCTGCTTTATGGGTAATCTAGCAGTTATCCAGTCTTAGAAAAGATAAACATGAGAAGCAGAGGAACACATTGGAGTCCCAGCTTCAAAAGAGGAATTTATGTTGTAAACATTCTGACACCCATCACATTCCTATACAACCAAATTAACCCTTCACATGCTGAAATTAGCCATACCGCCTGCACTAGATGGCCAATTCATGTATGCACTACATAAATCACATTTAATAGCTATATTGTTAAAGTGCAAAAATGAATTATGCTCACTGGGTATGACAACATATATAATTACAAAGCATAATATTTAATTGTATTACAATTATTTTTTCTCATTTGCATCAGGTGTCCCAGTGTGACTTTAGATATCTGCAAGTGCAAACCGAGCGGTAATTGGAGGTAGCGAGTGGCAATCCTCAATTGCAGCACTTAGAGGAAGTGATTTCAGGTCCTCGCAGCACATGTAAACGGGAATCCGCACTGGACTAGAGTAGCCTGCAGCAGCTATCACAGCTCCTGTCCTTGACTCGTATCTGGCCAGCTGGTCACTGCTAGCTATACAAAAAGTAGCAGAATAAGCCTTTCCTCATACAAATAATACAAACAGCCCACACACAGTCGCCACAAACACAACACCACTGGCAATCTGCATAAATGCACTCAACCCTACAAGCAGCCTCTCATATTCAATACCACAAGCTGCCCCACATATACACACACCACCAAACACACAATGTAACATATCATCCACACACCGAATTCCACAAGCAGCCGCCATACTCGGCTTATTCATAGGTATATTACACAATTCCACAAACTACTCATGAACATATACAATATAACAGGCCACATAGGCACGAATACAGAGCTCCAAAGCAACTGCAGCATCCATAAATAACACAAGCAGAAAACAGCAACATACAAACCACAGTTTAAAAAAATAGGACCGGCACGCCAAGGGACTACAAAATCTTGCTTTGGCACAGTACTACTAAAAGGTTGCCTACCTCTGAACTAGACAGTACAATACTAGGAAATCATGTCTGGCACAGATGTAGAAGCTCTCTTTAAGAGACGTAAACTCCTTCCACAATAGATCGATAAGAGTGAAACAGGTTAATACATGGGGAAGGGTTTTGCCTAGATAATTAGGGGAGGTTCTGGGAGTAATTAAATGTAAATATCTAGGGGGGAGGGAAAATAAAATAAAAATAGGGAAATTAAATAAAAGGAAGAGGAAATTGTTTAGGATTGATATAAAGTATTGGGGTACTACTATACGATGAGTAAAAGACAGAGGAGCAGGAGAGTCATCAGGGAGTAGAGTCAAATGCTTTAAGAGACCCAGCTACTGGTGAAACAAGAGAAGAGAAAGCAGGGAAATTTGCTTTCTGAAAAGGAAGGAGGTACTGAAATGAAATAAAACATTGTGAACGGCCCCCCCACCACGCACAGAAGTCTTCTTTTTCCCTCACTGATGCAGCTGGCTATCTCTCTATTTAGCAAATCCTTTATCCCTTTGAGCATAACATACATTTTAAAGAGAAAATAAACGAGAACATAAAGAAGTTGGTTTCAACAGGGGAGGGAAAAATAACAAGGCAAATTACATCTCCCATGTGAAAATGAGTAAATTGGTCACTGTGCACCACTAGTTTTAGGATTCTAAAAGCCCAAAAGGCTGCATGAGAAAACAAGAGATAATTAGGGAAAAAAGAACTGCCCCTGGCGATCAGACGTGTATGATCACTATTAATGAGCAATATATGCTTATTATACTCTAGAGGGTAGTGTCTCACTCTTAAAGGAAACCTGTTTTATATATGCTATACACATACTACATGTGTGTGTGTGTATATATATATTTATATATATATATATATATACACGTTTTGGGAATTTAAAGGGAATTTCAAATTTAAGGCTAAAATAGCAGAACGGAATAAAAATCTAACAGTCATCTATATTTCCAGTTCAGATATTTTGACCTTAAATTTTAACTTTACTTTGAATTCCCAACAATGCTCAGTTTAGTGAATACTTGACTGACACACACTGACAGGTAAAGACACACAGACACAGTATGTTTATGAGAGTATATATCTGGCTGTGTGTATTTGTGACTTGAGTGTCTGTGGGTCAGGCTTTGTGTATTTGCCTGAGAGTTTGTGCATGACAGTGAGTATCCTTGTATGTATCTGTGTCCATGTGTACTATGTTTCAGGGAACTGCTTCTTGTGTATTTTGTGTATGAAAGGACTGTTGTGGTTTTGATATGTGTATTGTGTTTATGACAAGGCTGTGTGTGGAGGGGGTCTCAGCAGAGCCGCAGTCTAAAGTTATTGCCACCTCTGCTGCATGGGATTCCAAAGTGCTCAATTGCAAACAAAATTTGTGTGCAATAAACAAATTTATCTTGAAATTGTCACAATCGTGTACACAATTTCCAGGGTGTAGCAGGCTCTGGGTAATCCGGTTGGTTACCCTCCCACCCCCGTTGTTAATGAAGGATGGAACCCATTTTCCCCAGTAACTGGACGACACACAGTTCCAGGGGTATAACAACTTTATTGGCCACACTTGGCTTTATACTTTCCCCATGCAAGGGGTGGATTACACACAATGACAATGTCTCCTCCCAGGGTTCTCCCCCTCCCGGGGGTCGCATAATGTAACCGGATCCCCAATCCCTTTGTCCCTTGTTCCTACCACTCCATGCCCCCTCCCATGGTCCTCCCCCTCCCAGGGGCCTGTGCGTGTGACAGAAACTCCAATCCCTTTGTCCCCAGTTCCCGCCACCCATCCTCAGGGTTTTCCACCTCTGGGGACCAGGGCTCTTTATCCCATAAGCCTCTGTACCTGGGAGTCCCAGCGCGGGAAAGTTTCCCACCTCTGTGACTCCCAGCTACAGAAAGTCTGCCAAATGTTCATTGTCCCCAAGAGAGTGTCCCCACCAATCTCAGGGACCCCCAGAATGGTAACCACCTCTGCTTGTGGGGTTCCTGGGTGAAACCTGGCAAGGGAAGTGTCTCCTTTCGGGATACGAATGCTCCTCCTGGCTGCCCAGGAAAGCACTCATTAATTACTTCCCTTGCGGTTTTCACACTTATGTTGCCAGTTGCCAACGTTCTAATTGATTGGTGTGAACATTCCAAGGGGTCAGAGGTCCCTGTTTGGAAACCGAACGAGGTGAGAAGCAATCCACGAATGCTCCCCCTAGACGGCATTCGTCTAACGAATGGGCCGCCACCCAGGGTCGGCACGCGCCGAAGCTTCCCCTTGCGGTTTGTGGTTTTGACACCTAGTTACGAGGTGTGAGGATTCTAAGACAACATTCTAAATGATGTTTTGTGGTGGTCCCGTTTGGGAGGCGATCTGAACTCGTTCGTATTGACTCTACCGAACAGAGAGCAAGTAAAACACATGAATATAACACAACACAGGGGAAACACTGAGAATAACACATAGCAATTCACGACCAGGCAGCAGTCCCACCACACTTACCTTAAAATTTTGTATACACGATTTTGACAATTGCAAAAATGTGTTTATTGCACATAAATTGTGTTTGCAATTGCTGTACTTTGGGATCCCAGGCAGTATTATAGGGGCTAAAGCAGTGATGGCTAACCTTGACACCATAAATTGTTTCTGGACTACATTAGCTAGCTGAGCATCATGCGAAATGTAGTCCAGAAACAATTTATGATGTCAAGGTTAGCCATCACTGGGCTAAGGGAAGGTTTTACAATAATGACTGAGGTTAGTGGGAGTTACAGTCTTATATGGTAGCTCTTTTAACTCCATTAATTGTGGTATACTGGGACATGTGTATGCAGTTTAAGCCCAAGATTTAAAGGGACACTATAGGCACCCAGACCACTTTAGCTCATTGAAGTGGTCTGGGTGCAGTGTCCCAGCACCCTCAACCCTGCAAGGTAATATTACAGTTTTTATAAACTGCAATAATGATCTTTATGGGTTAACTCCACCTTTAGTGGCTGTCTACCAGGAAAGCATTGAATAAAATGGGGAAATCTTAATGCGAGTACAGCCATTGCCGTGCAAGTGCATTA